ACCTATGACTGGAAGTTGAAACTATTCTAATTCATATTGGAAACAGACACAATTTTTCGTGGACCAACTAGAAGAGTTGGTGGATTAAGTGAGTAATACTTTCAGGTGTTAGACAAGAGTGAGTGGTGTTTCCAAGAAAAGGTATCCTGCTTTGCCTCCACATCCATCCAACTATAGCCATCATCAGCTATTAGCTGCTTTCCTTTTGGACATCTGCAATATCCATGCTCCTAATTTTAGGAGCAGCTAGTGTGGAAAAATAAGAGGAAAAATTCTTTACAAGATGTTTCCTCTGCATAGGTTTATTTCTGTCTTTGGAAAATGTTTGTTTCCTTTCCTGTTAATTGTGTTTTAATCACATAGTATTACGGAATTCACTGCCTGTGGTAATGTTGAGGGAGTGTTTCTGAATTTGTTTAGAATATTTGGAAATCCAGGTCTCTCATTTGGTGGCACAGTTGCATTGCTGTATGTGGACAAAATAGTTTTAGGACTGGCCATGGAACTTGGGTGTGTTCTCTGACCTTCATTATAGGACTGCTTTCTATATTCATTCAAATATAAAGGAATTTGCAGTACTTCGTGCAAGAATGAATTCACCAATCAGTCATTTGTTTAGAAGCTGAAGAAATCTTGCAGGATAGCTTATACTTAAATGGTGTATATGGGGGGAGAATCAAGACACTGACGTTAGTTTGTGGATAGTGAGTGCATGTTTTTTAGATAACACCATGATTCTATCAGTTATAGCATATCCTTCTCACTTCCATCCATATTCAATATTTGTTCTTGTTAAAGAGTTGCTGATTGCTTGCTAGTTCTGGTTATTTTTTTATATTGATTCCAAAATGCAGTTTTACTTTACATTAATGTCTGTGTTCCTCCAGCTCTGTTCTTCCTGAGGCAAGATTCAAATTCTTGATTGACATTGAAATTCCTGGCTTTCACAAGATGAACAAGCAGAGACTTGCATTATATTCAGTTTAAGATACATTGATGACACTGGCTTCCTTTACAAATCAAGCTTCAAAAACTGCTTTCTGGGGAGAGCAGGCTTACTGTTTGAGGGTACAACTACACAGCAACATTATTTCAAAAGAACAAGCATTATTACGAAATAACTTCGTCCGCGTCTACACGGAAGGTAGTTATTTTGAAATAATGTCAAAATGCTGTCAAGCTAGAGGACTTCTTACTCCTTATACAATGAGGATTACAGGAGTTGGAGTAAGGGAAGTCAGAGGAAGAGTGCTCTATTTTGAAATAAGTGCTGTGTAGGCGCTCCCAATTTCGAAATAAGCTATTTTGAAATAAGCTACTCCATTGACAGAGCTCAATTTGTGTAGCTTATTTCGAATTAAGCCCTGCTGTGTAGACACACTCTTAAGGTATATCTACTCAGCAAAGTTATTTCAGAATAACAGCCCTTATTTCAAAATAACTTTCCTAGCGTCTACACAGCCAAACCACTATTTTGAAATAAATAGCAGAGCGCTTCTTTCGAATTTGATAAACCTCATTCTATGATGAATAACACCAAATTTGAAATAGCTATTTCGAAATAAGTGCTGTGTAGACACTTATTTCGAAATAGGGGGCCTCCAGTCTTCCCAGGGTGC